TTTATTTTTTTTTTATTTTTTTCCTTATCTCATATATTTATTTATTTAATTTTTAATCGATGTTTTTATTAATGTAGTAAAAATTTGTTTGTATCACCTTATATATATATGTGTGTGTGTGTGTGTGTGTGTGTGTGTGTGTGTGTGTGTGTGAAAGGTGATCATATCATTCGTATCTCTCACTGGAACGGAATACGTCGCAAGGCCGAGTTTAAAATTGGCTTCTACATATATTTCTCCAACGAAATGAATTTTTCGGTTGGTTGTTGATCCGGTCGTCTAACGAAGTAACCTTCTTAGTATATAAGAAAAAATCTTGACTTATTGCTGATTCTTTTCCTATTTAAATAATTTTTCTTTCAATATATTGTTATGCATGAGCTCATTTAAAATGATTACAATGAACAAATTTCGAGTAATTTTAATGTATGAGAAAAAGAACCATTTTTCATGGAATCATTACCTGCGATGAGAAATGGATGCAGTTTGAAATCTGTCAGTGGTGAGATGCAAGTGATTCACCAAAACAATACCCCAAGTATATAATATATATATATGATATATCAAATTATATATATAATATAATAATATAATATATAATATAATATAATATATAATATAATATCATAATATATAATATATAATATATATATATCATATCATAATATATAATAATAATATCATAATATATAATATCATAATATATAATATAATATCATATCATATCATAATATAATATATAATATAATATATAATATATATCATATCATAATACATAATGTAATATATAATATAATATCATGATATATAATATTATGCTATTAATAATATTATATTATTAGTAAAAGGAAAGACCCAAATTTTTTTGAGAAAATATTTTTAATTCCTTTCAGAACCTACTAAATCTTGCTTATAAATTTCGCTTCTCTTGAGTCAAAGCATAACCATGAATTAGTGTAGGATTTTCGCGTATTTTTATTTTATTTTATTTTTTTTTCATTTTCTTTTAATTTTAATTAGAATAATAGATAAACCTTTATAATTCTGTATTTATTAGTAGCAGTTAAGTAATATTTTTATTAAGTAAAAATTATATTAATTAATAATTAATAGTAAAATAAAATTCAGCGATATCCAGTATTTTTAAAAGATTTTTTTTTTATGTATAAACATGCCAATTTTTGTATATACGGGCATCCATACATGACAATATCAGAAAATAAGAACGATAACTACAGTAAATTTAAAATTTATTAGTAATTTTCTAAGATTTCTTCAAAACGTATCTTCCTATATAAGTTTAGTGCCTAAAATTCAATTAAATATTATATTATTTAGAATATTTTCCTAAATTGTTAAGATTACTAAGTACTTAAAAATTTATTTCCCACTTCACTAAACCTCGAAGTCAAGTTATCGATAAAGAAATTCACCCATCTCCGACTGCGATATTTAAAACTAAAAAATAATTTTCGATTTAATTCAGATTAATTAAAGTCTAAATCAGTTAAATTTCCTCGAATAAAGTTTCAGAGACCTATATTTTAATTTTTCAAAGATTTCTTAATAAAGAGAATTATATTGTGCCGACAGATTTGTCCGTATGGACAATTTTAGAGATTTCAGTAATTTTAAAAATAATATTCCAATAAATTTAAATTAGGTTTAAAATAGAGCAAACATTTTCGCGGTCCTCGTTATGACGATAAACTACATCCGCGTCCTGGGTAAGACGATAAACTACGTCCAAACAGCAAGGCCTCTGATCAGGAGGATTTGAAGAGCATGAAACCACCTCTTAATTGTCGGTATTCCTAAGTCCACCCTGACCCTGGGTGGTAGCACCTGTTAGGGTTCCAGTTATGGGTAAATAGTTAACCCCTAAACTGGGGTTAAAATACTATGAACGTGTAAAAATAGGTTTTAATATCAGAAATATTTTTTTGTAAAAAATTATTACCAGAAATACATTATTACTAGCAATACTTTTTTGAAAAAAAATTACCAGAAATAAAAAATTGTCGGCATTAAAAAATCCCTTGAGGTTGATATGCCGTAAAACAAAACAAACAAAGAAACAAATATTTTCATTTTTTTTTTTTTAATGCTTTTTAAAACTTAGGTATCGCTTTCATTTTGGTGAAGTTACTTAATTTTTACTTTCTCAGTCTTTATCAGGAAATAAACATTGTTATATTTCTGGACAAGTTTTTTTGGGCTATATTCCGGCATTTTTTTTTTAATATTTCACCTGTATCCGATGTCTGATAACACGTTTAGGACACGTTCACAGAGCTTAACACCACCGGAAACGTATACAATGGCGTGTTCATAAAGAAATATATATATATATATATATATATATATATATATATATATATATATATATATATAAATTTTAGTGTAAAAAAATAATTATAATAAAATGATTATAACAATTATGATTACCATTAATTCACTAATTCTAAACCAATGAGAATCGAACCCAATTTTCTCCTCTGCACGCACAAACATATGACATTTTCACTATCGGACAGGCAGTTCACACGGACAGGTCGTTAAAACGTGCGTCAACGAACATTTCTTCTTTTCCTTTTCTGGCCATAATAGTAACATTTATCTTGTATCACTCAACAAAAATTAAAGATAAACTAAATACAAGTCTATCTGGACACTCATTACGCACCTCAAGAGAAAGACCGTATACGCTTTGCTTATGCTTTTATCTTATCATTCTGTCGAATTCCGATCCATATTTGATCTACATTTCATTAAAAGACTCACAACTTTACTCAGTATTATTGTCTCTCGTATCTTCAACACAACTTAGCAACCAGATAATAAATAATACACCTTTTTTTTTTTCACGTCTTATTGTTTCTCATTTTTACGTGTATTTTTGTATATATAAATGTTAGAGTATTCATGATTATTTACTCGGAGTTATAACTCCCCTACAATAATAACAATTTTATGCATATTTAATTATTTTATAGACGTTTTAAAATGTTATCTCCCGTGTCTCCTGCACGACACTTGTATATTTTATATTCCTAATGGAAACGCTTACACATATACTGACGGCGAAGCTATAGGTTGGCTTTTTCGTAATAATTTATCTAATTATCACATGATCCAAGCAGACTAAATGTTTAATTATTCAGTCAAACTTTGATTTATTTCGATTTATCGATGACGTACACATACTCGAGAAAAACATACATCGACGAATTAAAATCTTTAAAAAAAAAAAAAAACTTGCTAGTTTAATCACGTGCACTGACAAGAAAAAAGAAAAGAAAAATGCCTGTCAACTACTATATGGGTTAAGCCACTTGGCTTCGCCAAATGCCCATAAGGTGGCGCTGGTTAATTCTATGATAAGACAAACATATCTTCTCTTTTTTTTTCCTCTTGCTCAAAAATGTAGTAAAAGATAGTTGTCTCCTCTGGGAGGCGTTCGTTTCCCCGTGTCAACTGACAACTGGACTCTCCCACACATGTATAGACACACCTGTGTAACACATACTCTTATATCACACACATACTCTTATATCACACACACAACAAGGATATTTTTAATAGCATAGTTTTTAATATATTCCCGTTTACTCTCAGTTGTGCTCGCATGTTAATCCTTTTGTTTAGGTAACCAAAAAACTATTGCCGTTTTTATGGCGTGTGAGAAGAAGTGATCAATGATATGCAAATGAGTGCATCACATGCCTGGAAAGCGGTCCAGTCGGTAGAAGATTCATTGTTCTTGAGCAATGTAGGTGCGTTGCGCACATGCATCAGTCATAGCTCGATTAGCTGCTAGGAAACATGGCGGTGTCGAAGCAGCTTGTTCTGATCGTCGTATGATTTTATGATGCGCTTGTCCGCAGCCGCGTCATGTCACTGAATACGTCAAGCCTTTGGGGATAATGCTATAAGTGAACGTACTGCCAGGCATTGGTTCCAGGATTTCATGTCGGTAGATTTCTCTCTGGATGATACCCTCTGAGCTTTCTACCAACGAGCCAATCTATCACTGCAGACCTGTACTCGCAGCGGTTTAAACGTGTGCAACAAGCACTGAGACAGGAGACAGCATGGGTTAATCGCAGGGTTGTAATGTTTCCCCCAAGACATTGCAAGTCATGGAGCCGCTGGCAAGTGATACGGCGAGAGACACAGTACCTTCCACGTTACTACCCGGATCTTGAGCAAACAGTAACCTCTTCAATTCCCTGGACAACCATTTTTGTGGGAAATCCTTCGTAGATTAGGCAGACTTGCGTAAGGCACACAGAGACTACTTTGCATCCAAGACATCTGATTTTTACCGCAAGACCATTGTGCAGCTGGAGGCAGGTTAGAAAATGATTCTTGATGCTGATTGGGATTACTTTGTGGACTAACGGCATGCAAATTTGTTGTATAACTTTTTCTAATAATTCTAAAACCGCAAGGACTTTTTTTGGTTACCTTGTAAATGAATCTGTCATATATATTTATAAGTCTACCATTCGTGAATGCTTTGAATATTGGTGCCACATATGGTCCGTTGCTCCTTGTGCATATTTACAGATTCTTGATAAAATCCAAAGAAGAATAAGAAATATTGTTGGTCCTGACCTGGCATCTCGGCTTCATTCACTTTCACACAGCTATAATGTAGCTTCCCTGTGCCTTTTCTATAAATACTTTCATGGTAATTGTTCTGGTGAACTATTCGATATGGTACCTAGACTTTATGAATTTAATCGTCGTACTAGATTAGCAACAAGGCCTTATCAATTTACTATTGAATTGGCTAGGATGTAACCGTAAGTTCTATGCTAGCAGCTTTTTTTTCTCGCATTTCTTGCTTGTGGTTCCATGCTTTCCAACCAAATTTGATCTTCAAAAATCTAAAGTCAATGTCAATCGTTATCTACTGTCTTTCTGGTTACTCTTCTATTGTTTTTCTCCTTTAAAATGTTTTTGTTTTCTAATTCTTTCACACCCTGTAGGGCTTACGGCCATATTTGTGTTGAAACTCTGGTTCCCGTACGATCACCAAATTTAAGCGACGGCAAACTTGGTCAGTAATTAGATGGGTGACTTCTCGGGAACACCAGGTGCTGTAAGAATTGATATGCGTGTCGAGTAATGGATAATGGCTCGGAATTTTTAATCGGTGAGTCGAGTTCCAGTTCCAATCAGGTTCGTTGTTTATTATTTTTCGTTCTTCGTTATTTATAAGTCTATCATTTGTTCATATATGTCCCTGTGCTTCTGCTGCATATTTAGAGATTCTTGATAAAATCCAAAGTAGAAGCATTAATATTATTGGTCCTGACCTGACATCTCGGCTTCAGTCTTTTTTCACACCGCCGTAATGTAGCTCCCCTGTGCCGTTTTTTATAAATCATGGTAATTGTTCTGGTGAACTATTCGATATGGTTCTTAGACTTTATGAATTTAAGCGTCGTACTAGATTATCAACACGGCCTTATCAATTTACTGCGGAATTGGCTAGAATGTAGCCGTAAGTTCTATGCTAACAATTTCTTTTCTCGCATTTCTTGCTGGTGGAACTCACTTCCGGTTCGTTGCTTTTCAACTAACTTTGATCTTCAAGAATTCAAATGTAATTCTCAATCGTTATCTACTGTTTTCTTGATTACTCTTCTGTTCTTCTCCCTCCTTAATATTTCTGGGTTTTTTTTTACTCTTTCGCACTCTGTGACCCCTGCATTCTTCGGGCTTTTACTCTTTCGCACTCTGTGACTCCTTGTGTCTTCAGGCTTTTAGATTCTAAAACTTAAAAGGTAGTAAAAGAAGGAGATACCTGAAAATTGGTCCGGAGCTTCACTTATCCAGACTCCACATAGTTCAACACCGTTTGCGCAGCTCCAGTCCATTTTCCACAGACTATATATTGCTAGCTTATTGCTATTCAAGGTAGATATTAGGGCGAACTACATTTATTTGCTCCTCCAATCCAAACCCTCATAGCTCAGATTCGCCATGTCACATACTTTGACTCGACCCCTTTTGTATTCCACTGGCAAAGAGTAAGTTCCACACAGACAGCGTATTTTGCTATGTGGACTCCCAATGGGGTGCTATCTTGATCACTACAAATTCTGACCACTTCCCGTCGTTATCTATCCTACCAACTATTATCAACAATTATCTTTCCTACATATAATACGCAACCCATGCTTCCTCTCTATACGTCCATGCAGCATCCAAAGTCAATAACCCTCTATATTGAGTGGCACTTGGACTTTTTATCGACTGAAGAATAGTAACAAAGACATCGAACATAACAATTTCAGACCCAATAATCGAACACGAACAGGCGGTGTAAATAAATATCACATTTATTTACCTTTTACACAGCGGGAAACATATGACGTGATTTTTTAAAAAAATAATTGAAACTTAGTAAAGAACACCAGACTGGTTGAGGTGCCAAACATCTACTTTTAACAGCCCTCACGACTCGGTAGTCCTTTTCACTGCCAAATGTGTTCTGAAATTCATCCAAGAATATTAAACACTCTAATCGTACTTTCTGGCAATCAACATTGTTTAGGGGATACCGGGAAAGAAAATACTGACGCTATGTTTCGTTACCTACTGTGGTTGCAATATGAGGTGTGGTATATATTCTTTTTTTTTTAAATCTATGCAACAAATTGTGACTACCACACCTTGTTGTACAAGAGTCTCAGCATTTCCACGTATATATGTTCGTTCTTTATCGATTATCTTGATGTGGGTGATTGTCCCATATGTATATTTGTGCCTTCCTTCTGACTGAATTAATGGTCTTCCTAGAAGTCAGTGTTCATGCTCAAGGAAATAAACCTGGGTATCAAATGCTGATTTTCAAGGTAGGCGAAGAGCTTTTCTTGGTATATTGACGCTAGATGTACTTGTTTTATCTGACCTTCATTCACACACAGCTTAGGCGATCATGTATATTGCTATCCGTTTACGGGAAGTTTGTTATCATTTTCGTATTATTCTATCTTTACCAAATAAATCAAGTTTTCCTAGCTGTTCAAATAGATCTTTGTATCATAATTTACCAAATACGGTTTCGTCAGTTATGTGCCATGCCTGATAGACGCTTAGGCGATCAAGTATCTTTCGATACATGACTGACGAGGCAGATTTTTTTCTCCGCAATAGGTTGTCACGGACAGACAAGTTGCCATTCAAGGCTATAGAACCCAGCCTGTCCTGCTATTTACTGATAGCTGTGCGGGAAAAGAAGAGGATTCAAACGTAAGTCAATGTAATGGATTCGACTGGAATTCGAACTCGGCTCTCCGATTCCTCAATCCGAGCCGCTATCCATTACTCTACCATGCCTTCATTCACACAAGCATTGCCTACATAGTAAATGCAATATGGAAGAAAGTGCGATTTTCTTTCCCATAGCAGATGAATTAACTTAGCTTTGTACGTCTCAAGGTGACATATCTGGAGCACATATTGAACTACCCACACACAAATCATCGCTTGCCATCAATCCCTATCGACGTTCATTTTTTTTTTTAGCTGGTACACAATGTGCGTGAGTAAATTTTCGAGGAATCACTTTTGCATATATCTATACATTGCCTTCCGAAGACTTTTAGGCTCCAGGACAAACGGTTTATTAAGTTTTTCTTTTTCTTTTTGACGTTATCTTTATCGAATAATATATTTAACATTTCGTTCCCGTCTCTTCTGCTTTCTTTCAACCAATTCGTTAAGTTCACTTACGCGCAAATACCGTTGAGAAGGTTATAATTGTACAATCCCACCTATCCAAAAATATTTAATCTTTTTTTTTTCGTTTAGAACTTCTCTTGGTCCATTCTGCAGTCTTCCAGGGACTCTTAATTCTTTTACATTAAATGAATTATGTTAAAAACAATATAAAATGTTATTTGAAAAGTGAAATGGGTAATTAGCGTAATGGCCACTCGCATTAAAAAATAGCATTGATAGGCTGAGTTAAAATTCCGGGTTAATCTTCTGTGTTCTCTTTTGTAAAAATGCCTTTGGGAAAGACACGATTTCTCCATTCTTCACCCGGCTGGGGGCTAAATACCACACTAGACTGGGCTCTGTAATGATTGGACAGCAACCAATTCTAGAAAAAGGACTTACCTTTAGATCAAAATTGTGTAGAAGTGAACGTGAAACCAATCAAATATCTTTTCCAATGAGGCATTCCAATTCACAGTTAAGAAGGAAAAAGCCATTATGAAACCCATAAGCGACATAGCTATTTTTTACAAATAAAATTGTAATGTACACTCTTGTACAAATTGAAACAACTGGTTTAGTATCCTTTCTTTCGCCATACGGTCAGTTTTAGTGCCACTGGAGTGACAGGGTGTAATCGATTTCTATTTTTTTCCTCATATTAGGTCATTTGAAGTGGTGTGCATTAATATGTATCTATTGTCGGGGTGTATGATGGAATTTATTTGACCTTAAAAATATTGTGTCAACAGGGATTGCATCAGATTTTCATCACGCCCAGACATTATTGTCTCGACTGACGATTAGTTGCCCAACGGCCATTGTCTGCGATGGGAGTACGAAAGTTTTAACGCTACACGAACACACTGGCAAGCCTTACCAGTGAGCAAATCAAAGTACTATCGTCTTCCCTCTATTTCAACCCAGGTATAACGGATCTATCCCGCTAATTCAATCCATGATACGTTAGCAGGGGCATGAAATCCAGCGTATTTTATATTCTGGATAAATACCAAGGCTACAGAACCCAGTTTGCACTACTATTCCAACTGCAGCTGGTTGTGAAGGGAGTGGAGAGGGATTCCTGCCTTTTTTCAACCGTTTGACGGGGAATTGAACCCAAAGAATGGCAGGCGGATGTTGAATTCGTCTAATCATCTGCATCCAATCAGATGACACCATGAGGGCCTGTTAGATAATGAGCTGATCGTTACCCGACAGTGAACTGTTCAATTCTTAATAGTTCTGATGATTTCATTTCATAATACGCAAATTTGCTATGTACACAATGTCTGTAATAGCTCTCTAAGTTGAATTATACATATATATATATATATATATATATATATATATATATATATATATATATATAATTATTTATTTAAAAATATGATTCCAAAACGCGACATAAAAAGTCTCATGTTTCAAAACAAGAGCCGAAAACTTCAATATAATTATTTAAATTAAATTGAGTGAGCTCTGTTCCATCAAAATTTCGCTTGAAGATGGAACAGAGCTTATTTTAACTCAATTTAATTTATAAAATTATTATTAATATATATATATATATATATATTAATTTATAAAAATTATTATTATATATATATATATATATATATATATATATATATATATATATTATTGTGGATTTGAGCATTAATCCTTTTATGCAATTTTCATTAAAACCGACTGACAAGATATTGCGATTAAGCATTTTAATCATCTTTTTCTTGTGTTCGTATAAGGGATTTCTTTTCTGGACTTAAAGTCTGTAAAAACTGTCCAAATGGTCTGTATATGCAAGCACATTCATACATAATTTTAGACATTATCAAGGATGAAATTATTTTTTATTTAATTGAATATATGCATTGTTTTACGTACGTCTGTATGTAGAGTTATAAAGATGTTTCATTTTCCAAATACGGTTAGCACATCGTTGCCGTGTTCATATTTGATATTACAGGTTGTTGGCTTTTTTTTCTTTTTTAGTAATAATGCTTCCATCATTTTTATACTTTTTTAACATGTGGATGAGGCCATTATATTTATATTATCAACGAATGTTGTGGAAAGAATGTGGTAGATCTTTATGTGTATATACATTAAGCATAATTGAGCTATAGTCAGAGAGATGTAACGTGACTTCTTGTTAGACATGTTGTAGTATATACAATATAATTATTTACAAATTTGGATTGGAGAGGAACTCCGTTCCTTAAGTGACATGGGCATATATATATATATATATATATATATATATATATATATATATATATATATCTGCAATGAAGTATTGTAATTGTTTACATTGTCCGGACTGTTGACCTCATCTTTGTTGGCATATTCACGATGTTTCGGCCGTTGTACGCTT